AGGGTTCACTGTATACATTGGCAAAGGGTGGGAGGGGAAACTGAGGCAGGGAGCAGGGCTGTGATACTCAATGCCACATAGGACTAGAAGCCAGGTCTCTGGAGTCCCCGCGTAGTGCTCTGCCCACTGGGCCATGTTGCCTCTCCCCTATGTATTAAATTGCCCCTTTTCGCTGGGCCCCCCTTTCTGATCCCATACAGAGAGAGCGGTAGGTGGCTGTTGCTACCCACACCCCGACCTTTCCTGGGGCTGCCACGGCAACATCACCTTGGAACGGTCCCCTCCCCCTACGTTAATCCTGGGTGGGGGCCTGAGGAGGAGGGTAGTGGTGTTGGGAGTTCCCATCCGCGGCCCCAGGCTGAGGGGGTTCCTGGTGTCTGTTGGAAGACTATCACAGCCAAACATCATCCACCCCGCTAATTCTTAGAGCCTGGAGGGGACTGATTCAGAAGGTCGAGAAAAGAACTCGGGGGTCGTCCATTTTGGATCTGGTCTTGACCAACAGGGATGAATTCGTTGGGAAGGCGAAGGTGGTCGGGAACTTGGGAGGAAGTGATCAGGATCTGATAGAATTCAAGATCCTACGGGAAGGAGGGCACGAGAACAGCAAAACAAGGACACTGGACTTCAGAAGGGCGGATTGCAACTGACTCAGAGAAATAGCAGGCAAGGTCCCATGGACAGACCAATTAGGAAGAAGAGGAGTCGAAGGGGGACTGGCAGTTCCTAAAAGGGGTAATGCTAGGTGCTCAGCATCAAGCTATTCTGATGCAGAGGAAAGATTAAAAAAAAACCCCACAGGAGACCAATGTGGCTGCACAAGGAGCTTTTTAGCGATCTAAAACCCCAAAGGGATACACGCAGGGAATGGGAGGAGGGGCACGGCACCAAGGACGTATACGTGGGAATAGCGCGAGCGTGTAGGGGCAAGATCAGGAAAGCCCAGGCGAGGAATGAGCTACCGCTGGCAAGGAAGGTTAGAGACAACGAGACGGGGTTCTTCAAATACGTCAGGCGAAAAAGAAAGATCACGGGCAGCGTGGGGCCGCTGCTCAGTGGAGAAGGTGAGCTGGGAACAGAAGATGATAGGAAGGCAGAGCTGCTCAATGCCCACCTGGCCTCAGTCTATCACATGTGACCGGACGACCACAGACAATAAAGGGGAAGGGAGGCAGATCGGGATAAAGTAAAGACCACGTCACAGATCTTCTGACCAATCTGAATGAAGTCAAATCAGCAGGGCCGGACGCTGTTCACCCAGGGCACTGCGGGAAGTAGGTGAAGAAATCTCGGTGCCACTTGGCGAT